CTGTGTCATCTATGTTTTCTTTACATTTTCAAATGCAGAGCGGGGGGTTATTTAGCTGTTTGCAGGTGAGCTTGATAGCACTCTTTGTAACTTTGCCAAGTGTAAATAGTTCTTTTGAAATTTTTGACGTTGGAGTTTCTCTTGGCAAAATGTGTGTATGAGAGCATGTGCTTTGTTTTCATTTCAACCAAGGTGTTGCAGCAGCAGTTTTCAGAAACAAGACTTAAACAAAAATTAACTATTAAAAAAACAAAGGCCTGGAGACCTGTCTTTTAGATACTCCAACGTGCGTGTGCTCCAGAACAGGGACTTCAAATTTATCAGGTCCAGCTGTTGAGAAGCTGTTCATTTTTAGACAAATTGCAAGCCTTCAGAATGTTGAAGTTCACAGACATTCATTACAGTCTTCAAAAATACTTAGGTAGCTGATAAATTTGGTGATGTGTTCCAGCTTGGGCTTTAGCACGAGTTTCCATGTAGCTGCTGTGGATCCTTGTATGTTGAAAGAGCTTCTTCTGAATTCTTGGTGTTCCTTTGCTATTTGACCAGGGTAGTGTGATCTAAATTCAGAAGTGGGTGAGTGATGAATGTTCTAAGATTGGAAGAGAACCATGCAGGGGGAAGGTTGGGGCTGGGTGATGGAAAAGAGTGAGCCTCACTGATGTGATGGTCAGGAGGTGTCTCCCACGAATGCCTGGGATGTAACCCAGGTTCCGAGTTCATTGGAAACCGTTCATTGCTGTTGGTGCTTGTTAACAGGCCTTTCCTTCCCCTTCTCCTAGTATTGCTCCATAGTCAGGATAAAAGCCTCTTCTGTCTCACCAGGCATTGAAAGCTGTATCTTCCACAGTGCCTACACATAAAGAGGGGTTGGCAGAAGCGTATCTCATATTGCAGATATGTATGGCTTAACGCTTCTGCCTGAGAAGTAAGGATAAGGAGCCTTGAAAATGGGATTCCCCATAGCTATAGGGGTGAACTCTCTTATGTCCCTCTGTTAACTCTATAGTACCGGTGGATCTACAGACTTTGTATGGAAACAGGCAGACAGGAAAACTCCATGAGGTTCAGCATATGATGCTGTGTAATGAGTCTTAATTTTTTTCTGTTTGCCTTTTCTTTCCCCCCTCGTTATTTTCCTAATTAAGGTTCCCTGAGTGATCTTAGTTCTCCTCTGTGAACTGTAGGTACTATTAGAGAGTCCTGTTTGTGGAAATGGTGTCTGGACCATTAGACTAGATATCAGGGACACTTTCTTTACGGAGGGAGTGGTCAGGCATTGGCACAGGCTGCCCAGGGAGGTGGGGGAGGCACCATCACTGGAAGCGATCAAAAAAACGTGTAGACGTGGCACTTCAGGACGTGGGTTAGTGGCATGGTGGTGTTGGGTTGATGGTTGGACTTGATGATCTTAAAGTTTTTTTCCAACCTTAATGATTCTGTGACCATCGCTGACCCACCAGAACACCTCTTCTGTCTGTTAGGCTTCAGCTGCTGTGATTGATTAATGCTGGCAATCCCTTTTCCCATGTCTCTTGAGGAATATGGAGGGAGTAGGAGGTAGTCAGGGAGAACACTAAGCTGTTATAGGTCTTGATAATTGTCTATTCTCAAGTGCTGTGGTTATGAGAGGTGTCTTTTCAGGAAAATGTGTGTTGTGTACTGAAGGGATGGTCCAAAGACCCTGGTGAAGGGTAGTGCCTGTCAGACAAGTTTATCCAAGTAACAAGTGTCTGTTCGAGATATCCCCGCAGGAGGCAGCTACTAGGACTCGGCCGCACAAATTGTCCCAGGATCAACAGTCTGCTTCTGGCAACCTCTTTTCCAGTGGAAACTCTGGAACGTATAAGGCATCAGTTACCCCTGTGCCTTTGTCCTGTAGCTCATCCACGGTAAACCCAGTGCTCCTGCAGCTCCTGAGGCTCAGGCATGTGCATGTATGCTGTAGAGCTTGTCCTGTACGAGGGAAGGGCCACAGAATGTAGTTCTTCTTTGGTCCTGAAAACACCAAACTGAGATTTACATGGTGCGTTTCACTAGTTTTCTATGCTGCTTAGTCCAGTGTCCAAATGGGAAAAAAGCTGATGGCAAAAAAAGGAAGTTAAACAACAGATGATATACATGTTGAGGTGTAACGTTCTGGCTCATGATGATACCCTTGTCGAGTGGCGAATATCTCAGCAGAAATGTCTTTTGTACTCTTTGTTTCTCTGCTCTCTTTCATTAATCTTGCTGTCATGAGTTATGTGCTGTGAGCTTTTAACTTAAAATCTGTGTGTTGTAGTTTCATCTTCCTGAGCAGTTCAGCTTATTTTAAGTTTGAGATTCAAGTTCACATTCATTTGAAGATTGTTCTATCGGTATATATTTGAAGAGCTTTATTTTACTGTTCGATAACCTTGGAGCTCTGTACATCTGTTACTATGAGGGGAAAAAAATTAAGATGACTGCACAGGATGGTGCATTGATATAAATTGGCATTCCTCTACAGAATTGTAAATAAAGTCATCGTTCCTTAAATGAGATAAAATAGTCTGTAAAGTACTGTCTCTGTCTTTTTTTCAAAATCTGTGCAGAATAACTTTAGTAAGATGGTAGAAAAAACTTAAAGACATTCTCTTGCATGGCAGTTTGTCCTCCTAAAATACTGCTGTTTTAGGTGCACGGAGGTTTGCTGTTTTAAGTTGAATATTTAAAAAATGCTTTGTTTAGATTGTTAGCTGAAGGTTAACAATTAAAGTGCTGAAAACAGAAACTATTGAGAAGTGAAGTACATATACAGAGGGATTCACTGCAGCAAAGCTTAGTGGCAGCTAATTAGTAGGCACTGCTGGCTGCAGGAGTGGAACTGATAGCTCCAAGTTGTGTGCCGAAGAGCCGTCTGCAATCCACAGAGACTTGGTATGCGTTTACGTAGGTACTGTTTTGATTGTGGCAGTAACTGAACTCTAGTGAACATCAAAGAAAATCCAGATACTTAAGGGACTGTCTTGTGTGTCGCATTAACTGTTGGATAAAACATGGAAACTCTCCTTGACGTAGATGCCAGGTCCAGAACTTGGGGCTTTCTAGGAGAACATCCCTTTGGCTCTTGACCTGTGCTTGCTGTAGCTCCCTCGCCCTGGCTGCAGGGGTCTGGCAGTCCTTAGCACGAGCTGCAGCAGCGTGGGAGGAGCGTGTCTCAATTTGACAAGTGAACCTGCATCTCGGACGGGGTCTTCAAATTCTGTCAAACGCAGCATTGTCCGTGTATTTATTGTACTTTGTAGCTACCTGAAAAGCTCCCTTGGGAGAGTTGGTCACAGTACGCCAACTTTGCAAATCTCATGCCTGCTTGGGTGTTTAGGTATATCACTGTAGGGCTGTAGCAAGTATAATTGTGTGTAAACCAGTTTTATCTGTCTTGGGAACTTGAGAGTAAAAATGGAGGTTTAAGAGACTTTGTGGAAATAAACTATTTTTTTCGGTGCAGTCCCACATTTTCACTGAAAGGCCTAGCGTAATCAAGACTTGGATTTGCATGTAAGCCTTGTGAATTTAAGCATAAACACACTTAATGGTGAATTTCTCTCTTGTTCTGTTTTCAGTCTCTATCTTGGAGATCAGGGTTTGCTGCCTAGGTGCTAAAAGGTGTGAGGAAGGGCAAAAGTTTGCATGTAGAAAAGGAACAAGTTCAACCTGTTTATGCTAGAAATACGCAGACCTGTAATATTTCTCTGTTGGTTAAAGACGAGTGATATTGTGGCAAAATGTATTTGTGATCTAGCTGTTGATATGAATGTTAAAGAATTACGAGTTCCCGTTTTCCCAGTGCAGAAGTAGCTAGGGAGCCTTGAAATAACTGTTTGTTCTTGGGAAGAGGGGCTGTTAGTAACGGCCATTAGCTGAAGTGTGTGTGAAGAGGGGTCTTGAAGTCTTGGGTGGACAGGGCTGATACTGCTGGGCCAAAAAACCCCGTTTTAAAGTATTATGTGTATTCTGCATCTTGGAAAGTCAAGAATTACAGCATTTCTTTAATCATGAAGCAATGAAACTCATCTCTTAGGAGTTCCAAATGAAGATGATCATCTTTGCAACAAATAAATGAATGTCAGGCTTCTGCCCCTGCCTGCCCCCCCCCCCTTTTTTTTTTTTTCCAACTGTTTTTTTTTCCAAATCCCTTATCAAAGCCTGTAAACATTGTCCAAGTAAACACATTGACAATCAGGAAACAATTCTGAAGTTTAGTATTTATACGTCTGATTTGGGAATAAAGCCATTTAAAACTAAGTGGATCTAGACTGAGAATCAAAATCAACCTAACTCTAGTTTAGATTAATTTAAAAATAACTTTCTTGATTTTTTTTTTCTCAATGCATATTTTAATTATAAGAAGTAGGACAAAACCAGATGTTATTTTAATTGCACAGTCTAAAAACACATGAAGTGAGTCACATCAGTAACTAAAGTCGATAGACTGTGTTCTGTTAATTGTGTAAGTTTTATGGATCTTCATTTATAATTGTAAACATTAAAGGTGCTGTGCTACGAAATGCATGGCTCTTACAGTGAAATATCAGATACTAGAAGTATCTTATACATTACTCCTCAAATTTCTGAAAAAATTAATATCTAAGGCAAAACTGTAAAAATATGTTAAAATGTGTTCTGATATATAAATGACTTTATCAGTACATTTACATGTGTTTAAATGGTTGTGAAACATCTTTTGCGAAAGTTTAGAACAATAATTTAATACTGTGATAAATTAATTCAAATTTGATGACAATGTAAATTTCAAATTACTTGGTAACATGAATTTGTTGATATCTCATATTTAAATCTTGATTTATTTTTTGCTTACAAACCAAATTTTCTACTTGCATGGTAACTTTTAAAAATGGTATAGCCGTATGCTGGTTTATATACGTAGAGGCATTATATATACGTGTATATATATTACAACAATGTAATGTAGACACAAGACTTTGTTACAGTTTAGAATTTTTGTTTTTATGTAGTTTAAAAATGGGACGTCGTTCCTCGGACACAGAAGAAGAGAACAGAAGCAGAAGGAAAAAGAAACACCGCAGGCGTTCATCGTCAAGTAGCTCCTCAGACAGCAGAACATACAGCCGTAAAAAATCTGGAAGGAAATCAAGGTCAAGGTCACGGTCTCGAGATCTCCAGTCTCGTTCGCATTCTTATGAGAAAAGGTACATTGCAGTTGTTTATAAATCGAGCTCTTTCATATTATGGCAGAAAGCTAGAAGTGTTTGAATCCATTGTGTAGTCAGCTCTACCTTGGAATTTTACGGCAGTTTGCTCTGAATCTTGGAAGATGTGGCAATATTTTCACTAACATTTAAAGAAAAAAAACCAAAACACCTTCCATGCCCTCCAAGAATGCAAAACCGGTATATATGCAGATCCAGAGATAACTTCCTTATTAAACCAGAAAAAAACCAGCCTACTAAAATAACTCTCCCTTTCTTCTCCTTCTAAATAATGAATTTGGAATCTCTTTTTGGAAATATAATAGTTCATACATAACACCAGCTTGAAAAGTAGTTTCATTCAACTAGTTAGGGAATATTCTGTGTTACTTTTCTTGGTTGTAATAAACCAAGTAGGTCTTTCCAGACAACAAGGTAGACTTTCTCAGTAGAAAGAGTGATTTTTACAGCAGATCTATAAATTTGCTGCAACAGCTAGTTTTCACCATTATTCTTGCTATTTTTTTATGTGTACAGAATACGGTAGTCAGCCAGGTGTTTGAAACACAGATCATGTGGCTGTATCTACCAATTTGTTCTTGACCTAACATCATATTTCCTTCATCAGAGGCCCCTCTCTGTACCTGACATTTTTGGATACCCTGCTTGTGTCTCCCTCTGACTTGTGGTGATCCTGGAGTGAGCAGGTGGTGGTCAATTTATTAATTAAAGTGGAGCTGGAGAATACTCATTGTGTCTAACTGCACTCTAAATATATTCAAAAGTGCTCCTGACAAACCTTTCTTTAGCTGGCAGAAGAGTGTGCCGATGAGGGGCAAGTTGGCTGGTTGTGGGGGGCTTCTTAGTTCTTTATTTCCATCCCTCCTTTCTTCTGTTCCTGCTTAGCATCTACATACAGCCCTTAGGGGACACAGTGAGATGACATAGGCTTCGATGCCAACAATATGCTGATGACATGCAGCTTTATGAATCTCTTTAGTCCAGTGCAGGCATGGCTATCTTGCAGATAAAAACGGAGCTTGGAGGGAGATTAGAGTCTGGACGAAGACCAGTTGACTTAAATTGAATCCAGAAAAGACAAAAGTGTCTGCTTTTAGGATCTGGCTGGTACCTTTGTGTTGCCCTTAGTTTAGGGCATTTGCTCTTGGCAGTTAAGTCACTATTACACGCTGGGGTCTTGCTGGATTTATTCCTGACCCTTAAGAATCAAAAGCGGCAGTCTGTAAGATTACTGTTCTTCCCTCTTCATTTAGCAGGAGCATTGCATTCCTTTCTCCGATGAAGACCTGGTCTTTAGTAGTTAAACCTATATATCCTTTCCAGTTTGGACTATTGCAGCCCTACTTGTAGGTAATACAGCACCTTTTCCCCCTTATGCTAGATAAGCACATATCACATTTGACTACATCCTGGATTACAGAAAAGTTTCTTATGTGGTGTAATATTTTAATATTACTCAAACATAATAAAGGCCAAAAATATGGAGGTTCTTATAAGGATTGTAATTGTTGTTCGGTTAGCTGTCAGGGACGTGGGTACTGAGAGGAAACTTTACAAAAGGTTAAGAGTTGGGAAGCATCCCTCCCACCAGTTTTGGGATTAGCTGGTTTAATTTATGTATTTAGTATGTATTCTTTCACTTTTCTCCTATGTGCATAAGAATTTATTCCTTGAATAAATGAAATGGGGAGGTTGGGGGGGGGGAGAGGGAAGGGAAAATACTACTCTGACTCTTGGCTGAACTCAGGAGAAAATTTCCAAGCTCAGATGGAATAAATTAATATTGATTATTTGATTACTAATTGTACTTAAAAAACAGGGGGGGGATGGCTGCCTGTATCAAAGCAGAGAAAGTTGAGATTACACTGTAAATTTATAAATAGATATGTAAAATATTTTTGAGTGTACATTATTTAAAAAACATTTTTATGTTCACATTTTATGAATGTACATAGTATGTCTGGAAACAATTGTATAGAGCAGCAATGCAGAAATTACCACTTTATGGATTTAATTTTTAGTGCTGGAGTTGTAGTCCTTGTCCCATACGGTGTACTTCTGTGTAAATCCTGCTGAGAATGTAGGTCTAAATGTTTTGGTTTTTTTTAACTTTAGATTTGGCAGAGAGGGAATGAGTTCCTATAAGATGGTCATGGGACTAAAAACGTTGTGAGCTGGGTTGTGTTCCTGCCTTTGCCCTTGAGGTATCATATGATTTGGGGCAAATAGGTTAACTTCTGTTTCTCTTTCTGCCCTTTTTCTGTCTTGAGATGTGTATTTTAGAATGTAAGGTCTTTAAGACAGGCATTGCCCGTGTGTATGTGAATTTACTTATTACAGTTTAATAGTGGTATTTGAGGCTTCTAGAACATGTTATAATACAAAAAACACAGGTCTATAAGGACCTTTTAAGTAAACTGCTACATTTTTTTTCCTGTTTGGGGTTTTTTTTGTAGCATACTAATAGCGTGGTTTTGTTTTAGACGCAGACACAGATCGAGCAGTAGTTCTTCATATGGTTCTAGAAGAAAACGCAGTCGTAGCCGATCAAGAGGTAGAGGCAAATCCTACAGGTCTCAAAGATCAAGATCAAAAAGTAGAACAAGAAGGTAAGACTCTTGGAGAAAGAATTATTATTTCTACTGTAAAAACATTACTTTAAAGTATCTATATCATTACTGAGTTTGGAATATACTAGGAAAAAAAGTTGCAAGTGATCATCTAAACTCCATGTCACTTGAAACTCTTCCTAATTTGAAACATCTATGCTGTGCTTTTCATGTGCTAAATCTTTAAATTACACTGGTGGAACAGTTGGTTTTGAAGAGGAGTTATATATTTTACATTTGACCAAGTGCAAGTAACATTAATAAAGTCACCTTGGTTTAACTGAATCATCTGAAAACTTCTTGTGGATTTTTTTTCTTACCGATTTTTTTTCTTCTTTTATTACTGATTTCCATAACTTCCATGCATAACATTAGCTCCCTGAAGATCAGACTAAACTGTTATTTTCTCATCTGTATTTGTCTTGGAAAGAAGTGAGTATTTAGTTATGCGAATTCTTTTTAATATTTAAAGTTATCTATAGTGCTGAAATATTTGAGAAATTGGATTGTGACAAATGGATATTTTCAGTAATAAGCATAACTTAAATATTTAAATGTTAATCAGATGTTGCAAATTCTATTAGAAAATATGCTATCTACTTCTGTAATTAAAAGAAGCTCAATTTTTTGTGTGTGTATGTTTCAATTAAAAAATTTAAATAAAGTTTATCCCTGGATGTGAGAATTACTGTTAGCATTTTCTGTTGAATTTAAATTAATTATTGAGTGTGTCAGGCAGATCAGAGCTTTTTTGGTATGTGTTTACAGGTGTTCAGCCAGGTAATTTTGTGTATCTGCACCTAGAATTTTGTAAATCATGTTATTTTCATATACCAAATCAGTAGAGCTGTTCCCTCTAAGTGTTGAAAAATTGTTGTTGAAAGATGTAAATGTTTCACACTCTTGTTTGTATTCTCTCATGACTTCTTCACAGCTGTTCATTATAATAGCTGCCTGGACACTTATTGCTACAGTGCTTTTGTAGTAGCAATTTGGTTATTTAAACTGTCTGATCTCTCTTTGAGTATCCTTGCCCTCTGAGCTGTAGACTGCTGATAAGCTACTGTGCTGTGTGTAGAAATATTCCTGTAAATATCCACTGTTTTGCTAAGAAAATCAGTTTTAAAACAATGAAATGTCAAAAGAATAAGGTGGAAAGTGAAGGTGTTTTTCAGTATGTCAGATACTCAGCATTAGGAAATATGATAACCTAATTTAAAGATCTCATGTTTTATTGTAATAAGTGTAAATTGCAGATCTCATTAGACATAGTCTAATGGCCACCTTTTCCAAGGGGTTTACTGATGTTAATTGTCATTGCAATATGTGGAAATTACGCACCTAAAAACTTGAAAAACATGACTACTGTTTATATTATTTTGTGCTAGGAAATACTGTATATAAAATGTTTTATATACAAAATATACTAGCTGTTCAGTAGTGTAGCTATGAAGGTATAGCTGCAGGTCACTTTAAATGATACTACTATTCACAGACATGGTTCTTCAGGGAAAATATTTATCAATAACATCCTAAATTATAACTGAAGAGTCTTTTGGCATGTTAGAAGCATAAAACTAAAATGTTAAGAGCATAAAACTAAACCCAACAGGACACATTGAATTCTTTATGACAATTTTTTCCAAGTCTGCTCTCTGCTGTAATGTTACACTGAGAAGCCATGGATTAATCTCATTTCTGGAGAAGAGTTAAATGGGTTGCAGAAAGCTGCTACCAGAGGCCTGTGTTTTCCCTGCTTGTTAGTGTTGAGGCAGTCGCAGCTGTGCTAAATAGTTCCTTTCTTCGCTATCTCAAAATCTGTCTTGTGCACTCGATCGAAGGCATGAACAGCTTTCCTGAGAGGACCGAGTACACTATGATTCTTCAGGCTGGAAAAGAGATCGTGGGGGAAAGAAGGAATGTGATGGAGTGGTATAAAAAAATAAAATAAAAAAGAATGTGTGAAAAGATGATTAAGGAATGAGGGTTTCCTATCTCCTCCAGTGTAAGACCTGGGGCCAGTATGAAGGGAATGAAGTCAGCTGGTGGCAGATCCCAGTCAGACAAAAGGAGATGGTTCTGATACATCACATAATTAAGCTGTGGAAGCCCTTGCTGTTGGAGGTTGTGGGTACCAGAAGCTGAAATGAATTAAAAAAGCAGTCAAACAAGAAAAATCCATTCAAAGCTGTTAAATGCGAAGAGACAATATTTGTCTTGGGAAATGCATGTAATTGTAGTGCTGAAGTGGAACTTCCATTAGAATTTGACATCTGTAATTTGTGGGTGGTTTTTTTTTTTTTTGCTTGGGGTGGGGCAGCTTATTTTCATATGACTTTTAAAGGTAAGTACTAAAGAAAACACGTAGGTAAACTAGGTAATAAAATAATCAGCAGTTGAACTCGGGCAGGGACCTTGCGTTGCTGTAGTAAAGAGTGTGTTAGCCACTGCAGTGTTCTTGATCCCCAACTTCTGAATTGCCAGTGGCAGGGAGTAGAATCTGCTGACCCGCCTGAAAAGCGGCCATGTGAGATACAGCAATAGCGAAGACGATCTCTGTGCTACTTGATTTGTAACGTTGCTGTTGTACCTGCAGAGAACCACCTTTAGGACTTGAGCAACTGTGATTTTTCCCTCCCCCCCCGCGGGAGTGGGACTGACACTAGAAAACTAGTTTCATATTGGAAGTTAAGATCCATTACATGGTATCTTTAAGTCACTGGATTTGGTTGTGGTACAAGTCATACAGATGGTACAAATCCCGTATCCTGTAATGTCTTTTCTCCCCATGGTCCCCCATCAAATTAAGGTATTTTGTTCTTCAAGGTGGTGAAAATGTTGGTAAAAATGTATATGGCTGCACTGTAATTTTTTTTTTTTAGTAACTTGTCTAACGTAGGTGTTTGAGTGAATTATTTACAGAGCTCCAATTGTGTAAAATACTGAAATACAAAGTTTTAATTTGAAAAGTTAGATTTTTATAATGACATGTTTTAAAAACATTTTGAGTAGGTATTGTTTGTAACCTAAAGTGAATTTTTTTCCTATTTTGTTTTAGGAGATAAAAAAACTTGTGCATATTATAACTATTTTATGATGCATTTTTTAGAGTCAAAGAAGCGGGGCTTACTCGTAATGCTATAAATTTAAAGCTGTCCTACAGCAAGATAGTACAATGCAAATATGACTTAATAAGATCCCAAACTGAATTTCAGCAAAACAACCAAGATTTACATTAAATTAGGAATTTTAAAACCGATTTAGTTTGTTTTACTGAGCATTTGCTTAATAACATTTTGCCTTCTTGCAATCTTTTTAAAGACAATAATTCGTCTGTGAAATGCAGGCACATCCTCAGTAGAAAAATTGAAAGCAACAGCTCACTTTCTGAAACCACACATATAGTGATATAAAGAAATATTTCAGCTCTACGAAATTTAATAAATCATCCCATTTCCTAATTTGATCATATTAGATGCTGATGTGGAAGAAGCATTTCAAATACCATCTCCTCATTAATATACATCAGTCTGGGGAACAGAATGGAATACTTATGCAGAGATGTCACAGTTACTGTTTCTTAGTTTACTAAGTGGAACAGGTTGATGTGATACTGGGTGCTATTTGTCAATGTCTTGCTAAAATGGTTTGGGTCGAGTTATGGAGTCCAGAAAGACGGCGGCTGATAAATCAAAAGTGGATTGAGTGGACAGGAGGCAGTGATTGATACTGTGACAGGATATGAAGAAAGGAATCTTGATACAAGCATGCATGATATTGAATATGAGAAGGAAAATGGCCCTGGAGTATGGATATTATTCAAGGAAATGAGAATAATAATATCATCTTGAAATTATTGCTGGATAAAGATTAGGATAGTTCTTATTAGAATATTATGCTTCTCTGGAGTGGAGAAACTCAGATTTCATATAATTTCTGTGTGGATAGAGTCTTGTTAATATTTTTAGCGTTTTTGCTGCAATTGTTCTGCAAGTTAATCGCATATGAAAATACTTTACATCAGAACTTGTAATGCAAATCTTTTAATTCATGTAGCTTTAAATAGAATTAACCAAAATATGTTAACCTTTATTCCTTGATTTCATACAATTCTGTGATTATAGAGTATTTCGCTATAATTGCCTTTAAATATGGAGGTTTGTTTTTATTGTCTGCCAAGTGTGTTTGGCTTTACCCTTTGAGTTCAACTGAAAACTGCTGCCTTGAAATATCTTTAACACAGTTCAACTTAGATTGACACAATAATGGCTAGTACATCTATACAGATCTAAGAAGAGAAAATATCATGTGTAAAATAATCCTGTTTGTAGAATTGATGCCTTTGGACTGTCAGTGAAGGAAGTGTTTGATCAGTGTGTTGGGTTGGTTTTTTTTGTGTGTGTGTGTCTGCATGGTTTACATCTTATTTCTTTACCATTCTTCCAGTCTTGTTGATTTAATATTGAAATGTGTGCATCTTATTGCAGTCCAGTGACAGGGCTACCTACTACTTATGGGTGGCTTTGGAACAGGCGGGGTTTTTGGTATGGAAAAAGCAGCTTGTTGACTGATTAACTTATGTTCAACCCTCATAGCTTGGCAGAATTCGTCATGTTTAGCACTTATAGTCTGTAATATTTAAAAATAAGGTCCTCTAGTCAGTTAGAGAAATGCAATGTGAAAAGGGTCATAAAATAAATGATAATAAAACCCCACTAATTTCTTTAAAGTAGTGCTGTGTTGGTATAGATACTGAATAGTCAGGTTCACAAATTTAGTGATTTCTAAAGATAGTGTAATTTGCATTGCCTGGTTTATGACACACAGTGATGATGGAATTACAAGAAAAGAATTCCCCACCAGCCCTTTCTAGATGCATTTTCAATGCTGCTGCTTCACACACAAGCACGATACTAGGCAATGCTTACCCTGAAGTTAAGAGATTCTTGCCATTGGGTTTGATCTGTTCTCAGAAAGGTCATAGCTGCATTCAGACACTT